TTTCCCTACTCAAAATCTGAGCTATATAAATAATATATACATTCAAAAAGCTTTACCTTAGCCTAGTCTTTATTTCTAACTGTAGCTTATAATAGAGGTATTACTTTAATATATATGCACCTCTCATAAGGTGATTGATATTCCGAGTTGCGGGAGGTACTCGAAGCTGCTTGCATCCTGGCATCTTCTTCCCGCCATTTGGGTAAAAATCCAGGTGGCCACAAGTCTGAAGAATCCCTGGAGCTGAAATGCACAGTGAATTGAGGCTGATCACTCCCAGGTGTGCTGTGGCCAACCTCTGCGTTGGTGTCAGTCTTTGCGTGAAAACTTACCAAAGTCAAAGAAAAGATGACCAGCGTGAGTATGAATTACATCAACAAATTTTGCATCTGAAGGATCCAGCCTAACCATTGTGGGAGTATACTGGAAAAGGGGCCCAGCTGGATCCAAACCTAAATAAATGGAGATATGTCTGATTGAGTAAATAATACTATATGCGTGTACACTGTATGTCATTACATTTCTGCCTTTACTCCACATATAAAAATCTATTTTGTGGTCCACAGCCAGCAAAACAAGCAGGGTTTTAATAGAAAGATGGCTGGAGGCATTTCAGCACAGTAAAATGCTGAAGGGTGCTTGGCTTACTTTTGGGGAACAATGTTATAAGAAGAAGTGTTTTGGGGCTTTTTTGCATGTTAGTGAAGAATATGAAATCTTGATATGTTAGTCTGAGCATGTAGATTTGTTTGAGAATTTTTATTTGGTCAAAAATCTATTTTTATTTCCAAAAGAGCTTGGTTGAAAACGTTACCCCTTCAGTGTCAGTGAGCTCTCTTTGGGGCTAAAGCAAGAGTTCTGATCCCAGTTGCCCTGAACTGCTTACGTGACTGCTTACTGCGTGCACAGCTTAGTCAAAGCAATGCCTGTGCAGAGAAAAGAACTGACTGGAGGAGAAAGGAAAGCAGAAAATAGTGAGCCTTTAAAAAAAAGTGATATGCGAGTGTGTCATGACACTGTGTCTCTCTGTGTAGCTATGTGACTAACAGCTTTCTTCCTTTTCAGGGTGTTCATGGCTATTTACTGATTCATGCATACTAGATCTAGGGTTTTTAACTTTTCATTTCAGATTTTCAATCTTTTGAACTGCTGAAAAGTCATGTTAGAGTGGGCTTTTAAAACCAAATATGACAATGAGTTGCTAGTGTTTACAAGTCTGTTATTCCTCATGTAATACAGTATTTTGTTCCTGTTCGTTTATACCATTAAAAATCATAACCAAGTGCTCCCTGGGACTTGTTGTGATTTGTGAAAAGTGACCTCTATTTAGCCACAGTCGTGACAGTTAAGCCTTTCTGATCTGTTGCAGTTGAGCCTTTCTCAGAGCTGTGAACGTTGACGTGTGAAATGCACGGCATGTGATAGGACACGGCTTCATTTGTGTGCCATCATCCTAGCTGTATACCGTTAATTATGAGAAACCAGCCCATTGTGGTCTGTATTGTGCGTTTATAAGGCAGCAGTGATTCCTCAGTTCTCTTAAGTTGCATGAAAATATAAAGTTTCATCAGTTGAAATAGCTTCAGTACCTGTTATTCTTCCAATGCCAGGTTTCCTTCTCCCTGCCTCCCCTGCGGCATGTGCTCCAAGACTGTGGCCGATTAAATGAACGTTGGCAGGAGAGTAGCCATAGTCTTTCTGTAAAGATGCATGGAAAGGAAAAAACAAGCACGTTAAGTGGGGGATACAAGCCTGTGGCACTGCATGACGGCCCCATGTTGTGCCAGGGCATGGCCAGAGCAGCGGGCAATGGAGGGAGTGTCTTGGGTGGGAAGTTACGGTTGCGGGTGGTGGGATCAGTACCTAAAGAGAAGCAGTTCCCAACTCATCCCATCCCCTCTTATATCATGCCTCTGGAAGGGAGTAATCTCTGTCAGGAATTGGCCCTTATGGCAGAAAGGGTGGAAAAAGGAATTTCTGCACATAGCTCCCCTACATTTGCTCTGATTGCTTATCCAAAGGGCGAATGACCCCACTGCCTCACCCCTGAACCTGTCTGTCCAGTCAGGATAGTGCTCGGTGGTGGAGTTTTCAGTGCCTTTGTCTGTGGCATACCCTCTGTGTGAATCAAGCAGTCATCCTGCTATGGAGATGCTCCACCGCACAGGTCCTGCAGGACAGGGGGGACCATGGCTGCTGGTGTGCCAGGCCCAGCTGAGGTTCTGCATGGGAAGCCTGACATTGGTGGCTGCAGAAGAGTCGCTTCTCTGTGCTGCCATTCCGTTCTTGCAGGAGGCAGCGTGTGTGACCCACAGAGGGATGTTTTAACCACTCTCCACCATGCCAGTTTTGCTAGACAGTCTCCAATCTGATGCCTTATCCAGTAAAAAGCCCACCATGAGCAAAACTTTCAGAAACTATGGCCTGTCAGCCTTTAGGGATGTGCTTATCTGTGGTCTGACACTGACGTAGGTATTTCCATTTGTGTGGGATTAGAGACTTTTTAGGACATTTTCAGCCGTGTTATTGAGTACCTCTGTACTTCCTGACTCTATTGCATCAAACCTCAAGGTGCCACCTTGAACGCAGCCTTTACCATACGGACTATGCACTGGCTTTCACGTTCCACGGATACTTGTACCTCAAGAAAGTTCACCAGATATGCCAGCTCAGCCCCCACAATGCGGACGTTGTTAACTGCGTCAGTGTACAAACCACTAGAGCCACCTCTCCAGTCAGTCAAAATGCAGTTCACGTCTTCAGTGTGAAACATGGACTGGTGGAGAACATGAAAACAGGAGAACAGAAGCAAACAAGCATAAATTACAATCGTAGCAGGGTATATGCAAACAATATTTTGTTTTGCTATAGCTGGGGACTCACCTTGTTTGTGTGACTGGTAAAGACACATCTTTAGTATATTAATTGCTACTAATACTTAAGAATCAACACAAGGAGGCGGGGTGGAGCCAGTGATTTGAACACTGTATAAAGACACACAGAAGCTTGCTTCAGTTCTTTTTTCCATTACAGAGGCTTTGGTACGGTTTAGGGTATCAACTTCTCTTAATGACAGTACCCCAGTTAGAAAAAGAGGATAGTACGACTCCTTTTTTATTGTCCAGTCTTTATTCTTCAAAATTTGTATGCTTGGATCATTTAAAAGGATTCACAAATTTGTGTTCATATGCTCAAATTTTTCAGCCCCAAAGTTCATATATTTTAACCAGAATATTCTATTTATACACTTCTGGCAATGGAACATTCTGATTTTTCATTCTGAAACAATTTCATTTTTGAAATGTGCCTAAATAAAATGAAACCAATCTGCTGAGCAAAGCATTTTGGTTTTATTAGATCAAATGCCTCACTCAAACTGAAAAGTTTATTTTGACTTTTTGCTGAGGTGAGAAAAATGACTTTTTTCCCCTTTACTATTGGCAAGGAATTGAAAAATCAATTAATTATAGCTTTCTCTGTGGAGGTGAATGCAGCAAAAGGGCATTTAGCAGAAGGCTGAAGTGCACTATACGCATAGCTAGGAAGAAGAGGGGGGTCATGTGGAACTGAGCTTCATTCTGAGGTTGTTTCCCCTCATATATTCCCTGAATTAACGACAGAACAGAGGTGTAAATTTTACGTGGGAATTTTAAGCCAGTTAATGGGGTGGTGTGGATATTTGCACTTCCAAATACAAGTAAAATGACTGTCAGACAATAGTCATACCATACCCTGCATATATTTGTTATCCAGGGGAGGTCTGCTCCAGCAAGATGGCCATGTATAATGAAGCGAGTTTTCCTGTGTGTTCGGAAATTTGAAGCTTTGATAGTTGAAGGATTTGTAGCAGAAATTTTCTGTGTCAAAAAAAAACAACCAACAAACAACACAACAAGGATGTACTGCTCCGTGTGCATTTTGATACAGGGTAAGAGTACCCCAATGGTTAAGGCATAGTTCTGGTCTCTGAAGAGAGGGGTCTTGTTCCTCACTTGTAAACTGCCTTGCTGGGGGATATCTATTAATCGCTTCAATAAATGATGCATTTCCTCTAGTTAATTGAACTAATGATACTGGCATCTTTTGCACAATGCTTTGAGATATACTGGTACAACATGCCAAGTAAATACAAGATTTTATCAAACTTGGCCATAGAAGCACAAAGATAGCATCTTCTGCAAGGTATTATGTGGTCGACTTTGAATCTATACCTATTTTTCTTTCTTTTTTCTTTGAAGATAAGACCTTCATTGCTACGCTTATTTATATTTTATGAGAAAGACCATCAGGCTTACAACGCCAGAGGCTGTCGGTATTTTGGGGTTTATTAAGAAGGAAGGCATTATTTTCTTTTAAAGGAATTCTGAATACTGGGTTGTTTTGAAACTTGCCTCTTACTTACTTTTTGTTATGGTTTTGTAAGCTTAAAAGGGGATGTCATGCACTAATTAGCACACATCTCACCTTCAGTGAAAGACTGATTAAAGTTAAAACCTCATAGGCCCTCTCAGCTAGAGATATTGGACTTGTTCTGAGGTGACTCAAAGAGGAGAAATCATTAAACACCTCCACTGTTTGTGACTGCCATTTGTGTAAAAAAGACAACTATGAAGCCTTTTTCATGTACTGTAAGCCAACAACAGCAACAATTTGCCCCCTTCCCTTTTCTTATTAATTTGCTTCATTTTTCTTGCTCTTTGTCCTAGTGAAGTTCACACTCTCTGATGGTCATTTCTCTTCTTTCACCAGACTGGTCTATAGCTCCACAAAACTGCTTCATGCTGTGGATGAGCCCAGCCCAGATACTTCCAACACCTCGAGCATCCTGCTGGGAGCTTTTCCCAGCACTTGCTGATCTTCAGAGGAAAGGGCTGACACGCTGCTGGCGTCTGTCAGTATGTTCCCATTTGATCCATCTTAGAGTCCTGCAGGCTCCTTTTAACTGCTTCCATTTGTCACTCTGTCAGTCCAGAGCTTCCTCTCGCTGCCACTGGTTTGCAGATGTTGTAGATAACCTCACCTTTTTACTTTTTTTCTTCCATACAGCTCCAGTCTGCTGTCCCTGTGCTTCTCTACCTGATGTGTTTTCATGAGGGATAGCCTGGTTCAACTCTCTGTAAGACAAACCTCTAAGCTCTATCTTCCCACGTCTTTTTCTTTAGCTTTTTAGTCTTCATTTTCCCTCAGTCCCATTCTTCCAAAAAACGTTTAATATTTGTTTATTTCTTTATCCATTGTAATTTAATTATCTTTTTGCTTGTTCCCTCCTTTTTCCATATATGATTTCATTCTCTCCTTCATTTTTCTTTAGTCTCCTGTTTTCCTTTCTAAGCTTTCCTTTAATTTTTCATCCTATTTTCTTTCCCCTCTCTGGTGAACATAGATACTTTCTCTTCTGATCTTCACTCTTAACTATTTACCTGCCCTTAGGGCTCAGTGTTGGCCACCACATAAGCAGAGCCTCTGAGACCAATCGTATGTAGTTCAGAGGACCTAGTCATCGCATGTATGAACCAAATCCCTGAGTCGTGTGTATGGGCCTGAAATATGGTTTTAAGCTGGAGACACACAGGAGCCAAAACTGAGCTTTCCTTTTGTACTGCCTTCCCTACCTCTGGCTTTGTAATGCTAAACTGAAACTGAATTTGGGCTTAGCATACAGAAGTATATAAAATATATCCAAAATATCTTAGATGACTTGTGTTAGAAGGCTGTGATTAGTATGTTGTAAATATACCTGGCCTGTCAGAGAGCTGAAATGAGATGAAAGGAAACTCGGATGGACTGTTCATGGAGTGCGTAATGTAGAACTGGGGCCTCTCCTGGGAGACTTTGAGGGAAAATACGGGAGAAAAGAAACTGTCTGTATAATTTGTTGAAAGTGTAGTACACTATCAGTTATTAAAACAAAGCAGTTTCTTACTTGATATTTCATGATGTTGTCTCTGGTGTAAAGGAGAAAATTGGTGTTTACAGCTTCTGGAGAGCTGGGCAAGCCTGCTAGTTGTCTCCCTGGGATCCCAGACCAAGGGGGGCTATCCGTAAAGCATCCAAGCCTTTTGTAGCAAACTTCCCTTCCTGGGGTACGCAAAGAAGAATGTTAGTGCTCTGGGAACACAGCAGGTTAGGCTACTGCCAGTTTACAAGAAGCTGGCAGGATAATGTTTAGACCAGGGAAGTGGAAAATGGCTGATTCAGATTAGGATGGCTCCTGTGTTCCTTTTTCAGTCAGGGGCTCTGTTGCACTTCTGTGCCTTGTGCATGTAGCAGGGACTTGAACTTCAAGACCAATTCCTGTTGCAAACACAGTGTAGAGCTCAGTTTGGTGATCTCATGACTTATTTTGTCAAACATATTGTTACACAGCCATCGGAAAAAGACAATAAAATTGTGATCCTTTATGGATCTAGAGAACCAAGTCAGCTTTTGCTGCCAGCACAGAGCAGTCCTTCAAATTAATGCTAATGCTCCAGGGATTATCTAAATTGTTATTTCTTGTGCAACGATTCATGAAGGAGTAAAATGAAACTAAAACATTAAAATAGATACCTCTGGTTGCTCCATAGCGTACACTAAACACCTCCCTTATTTTTTATCACTGTAAGATTTTAGTGGAAGCAATGAAGTGGAGTCTGAGTGGAAGCCTAGAGCAAAGCACAGCCTCAGAAGTGTGGTCTGTGCCTGAAGGATTAGAGTTTCCCAATTTCTATTGTGGCTCTAATACAGTAATGATGCAAATATGACATATGGGTGTTGCCATTAAATGCCATCCTTACCCACTATTATAGCACAACAGTTGTGAAATCCCAAATAATTTTTATTGCTATTAAAAAGCTACTGAAAACAATGAGAAACTATTGTTACCTAGGTTAGGTGACAGATCCATACTACATCAGACCGTGACTTACTCTATTTGTTGCTCTGTACGAAACACAGGGGTAGATTGATAGATACTGGAAATACATCTAGAGAAAGGGAAGATTTAATTGTGGAGCTGCAGCTAGAGACTCCACAAGTGATCCAGTCATTTTCCCAGGGGTCCTTCCTCTGATGCCAGTGAACTTTTGGACTGTCTCTTTTTGTTTCTCTCTGCTCTTTCTGTGTGTTTGTCCCTGTTGAACTATTCTTTCCTATTGGTAAAGAGGTGTTTTAGACTGGGACTATTTTCTTGTTCTCTGCATAGCACTGTGAAGAGTAAGTGCCTAGGCTGACATTACAAGTGTTGTAGCTACCATAAATGCTGGTGTGGGTTGAGGGTGGGTAGTGGAAACTATTCTGGAAGAATTTTAGTATCAATTAATATATAAAAATACCTTTCTAATTCCCATTCTGTTTGCTAGCTGGAAAAGCCTTTACAGAATTAAAAAAGTAATAGGTTAAATGCGGGAAAGACATGATGTAACTCAATGTTCCTCATTAATAAGTCTTGTAAATCCATTCCAAAGCAGATCCTTTTTCTAAAATGTAGTTATTCTGGTGTAAGCTGCACACAACAATTTTTACTGTTTATAGTTTTTATCAACTATGTGTCTTACCTCTGACTGCATCAAGAAGAAAAAGAGTAGTGATCCATGCTGCAAACATCTAAAGCAAATAAGAACACGGTTCAAACCTAATTAAAAATAGAATCTGGAATTCACCTAAGGGTTTCCTTGACCCATTTAAAAAAATTATAGTGACCATAGGAGTACTTCAGGCATTTAATGAGTTGGATCCAAAAGAATCAACACTTCCTTAAAGACAGCAGGGTTTCAAGAAAATACCTTTGGGATTCTTTCGGTTTGCCATGGAGATTTTGCATACGTGGGATATCCTCTAAGCATCTCTTAAAGATTGTCTACCTGACTTTGACAAACAGAAGCTTTTTTTTTTCTCTAGAGCTGGAATTTATGGGCAAGCAAATTAAATTCTTAAAGGATTTGCAACAACATTTTTTTACAGAGTGGTTTCTTCTAGCATTTAGTAGAAAAGGTACTCATAGAACTGCTGTTCAGTGATTGTATTTAAAAGAACCCAGGAACAAACTTCATTTGTGTTTCTAAATCATACAGATAGTCTTGAAAACTCATTTTGATCATTGCTATCATCCATGTGCACTTATCAGCCCTGATCTGCTTGATCACTTAATCATCAGCTGATTGGTAAGCATCAGAGTAAGTGGAACCAGTCATTTACTTTGAGGTGAAATAGGGAAAGCCTTTTAAGTGTAGTCTTGCTACTACTACTAGTAACTTATCTTCAAAGGAAAGAAGATCATTCTTAGAAAACTCTAATATCAGGCCCTGATCCTCCAGTGAATCCAGCACAGGCAGAGTCCTGCATCCCCTTCCTGCACTCCCCACCCCTAGTCTCCTCAGTCCCCCCAGTCCCCTGAAGTCAGTAGTACGCTGTTAAGAGCAAAGAGTTCATCCCTGTGAAACCTACTGCAGGTTCAAGCGTGTCCTGCTTCCATCTCCTCTCCCCTAGCCACTCACCAGATACCCCATACCTTATCATGATGCACCTAATTTAAGTTTCTTAGATGCTCTTGTCTCCAATGTATCCCATTTTACCTTGGCAAGGCTCAGAGCAGGTTCTGTGGTCCACCTCTTCGTTGATTGCGGCAAGCCTTGCAGAAGCCCTCTGAGGAGGCTGGAACGAAGCAGGACAGCACTGCGCCTGCCCAAAGAGGGCACATGGCAGAGGGACACTCACCCCGCTGCTGCTGCACGAGGCTTGGGTTCCCAGCTGCATCTGTGACTTTGTTGGGTAGTGCCAAAAGAGATCTCCTTGTGTCAGGCATGCTTTATCCGAGATAACATGAACCAGGTCAGACCAGTTGCTGCATGACTCCACCTGTTTAATGCAAAGTTTCAAAGAGGGTGTTATTGTCATCCATCGGTAATTATTTTTAAAGCTAAAAAGTTCTGGGAAGTGTAATGTAAACACTGAACAAACACACAGCCTTTCAGGATCAGGAACGAGGCCCTCGCCATCGACGGGGCTGCTCATCTTGGTGTGATGCTCAGTTGGGATTCAAGTGACTTGGCATCACACCAGAAGGCTGTAGCAAAGCCCCAGTCTTTTGGGTCCTACTCCAGAGTTTTAATAGCAAAACCATCCTTCCTGGAGCTGATCCCTGCCTTAAATAATTTACAGTCTTAATCAAAATTTTCAAATTTTATTTGATAGTTAAGTCTACCATTACAACATCAAGACACAAACAAGGTGTTGTGGGATCAGCTAGCATATATGTTTGCAGAGTTTAAGCTGTTACCTGAGAAAAGGCAGAAAGAAGAGAGAAGGATGAAAAATGTTAGAAAAATTAAATTGCTCAGTCTGTCATTTTTTCATCCTGTAGTTCTCTCGTCTATAATTTTGCTAGTGGATGAATTGCCTGACTTTTCCTTGAAAAGATGACAGAAATGCTTTTAAACAGGGCAGAATAGTTCTTTGGGCAGATTGTCACCACATCCAACCACCATGAATCTTCATAATTAAATTGTATTAATTGCAGTAATTTTAGTTTTTAGTGTTTTGATAATGATGTCTTTTCACATAGTACTATATTGTTGTCATACTATTATGTTAACATTTCTGATCAGGCTTTCCTAGAAATCTTTGTTCCTGTATGTAGACACAAATGAGAAGCTCACAACTCAGCATTTTAATGTTAAACCCTTTAAGTATATTGGGTCACTACTGGCACCTCCTAAGCCAAGGGTGTACAGAAAGGGGAGACTCTCTTTTGGTATAAACCTTTCCACGGAGACTTATATCTAGCACATATAATTATGAACTGGGTCAAGTGATTCCTCAGAATGTTAGGTACAAAAACATTTCCAGGCTTTTTTTTTTTTTTTTTTTTTTTCTACCCTTAAAAATGTTAATTCTTCCAGAGCCTGTTTCAATAAGCAA